AGCGATACCATGGTGGCTCTTAATCTGAAGTTTGGCCAGCCCCATCAGATGGCATTGAATAAAATAGCCAGTGTTATGGACTCGCCTGATATTCGACACGGTGATCAAGCTGCCTTTGAGAAGTTCGCCCTACAGGTCCAAGCACTCATGGGCACGCTTAAATCCCTTGGTCCCCCAGGAGAGATAGAGCTACAGTGTGGATCTCACGTAGCACGCTTGCTGAGCAAGTTACCGACAGAGATGAGAGTTCAGGCGCAGCAAGTTCCCTTATCCAGGAACAACCTATATTCTGACTGATCTCTCTGAGTGGCTGCAATATGAGTCATGGTGCCAGGAATATGACAGTTCATCAACAGTGAAGAAGAACACGAAGGAGAGACAAGGGCCTAGACAGGAGCCTCGGCAGAAGAGGTGAACCACTACTGTACTACATGGATCCAGAGAGGCAATGGAGAGAGAAGTTTTACCTGCACAAGTGAATCCATCCACTAAGAACAGAACTGCACCTTACTGCCCATTCTGTAACAATTCAGAGCACTTCTTAAGCCAATGCACAGAGATTGTAAAACTGACCACAGACCAATTATCAGAATGGATCCGTACCAATCGAAGGTGCTGGCGATGTGCTAGAACTCACCAAGCAGCCCATTGCAATCTGCGGAAACCTTGCAGCATTTGTCAAGGCAAACACCTACCAGTGCTGCATGAAGTTAATTCCAAAACACCTAAGACTGTGGTCAAGTCAACTAAAGAGGAGAGCTGTCTAGTGAATACATCTTCTGAAGTGCTGTATGTGGACAAACCAGTAGATGGAAGTCGTGTGCTATTAAAGGTTATTTTAGAGTACTACTCCACCATGGTAAGCGCACTCTGAGCACCTATGCCATCCTGGACGATGGCTCAGAGCGGACTATGCTCTTACCAGCAGCAACACACCACCTGGGCCTCCGAGGAGAGCCAGAAGACCTGGCCTTGCGAACTATACGTCAAGATATTCAAGTTCTTCACCGGTCCAAGATGACATTCCGTATTTCCCCAGCCGAAAAGCCTCAGCACAGCTTTCTCATCACTGATGCCTTCACTGCAGAACATCTTGGTTTTGCACTTCACTTTTACCCCATGAACAAATTACAGAAAAGTTACAAGCACCTTGTGGGCCTCCCAATACAGGCATTCGAACAGGCACAGCCCTTGCTGCTAATTGGAGCGGATCACCCTCACTTGATTACTCCGGTTTATAGCAGTGTTTATTGTCCTCAACCAATCCCCAAGTGGCAGAGCTCTTCAAGAACGTAGAGAAACTGTGGCAAGTGGACGTACTTCCCTTCAGGAACGAGAAAGAGGTCACCAGGTCACGACAAGACAAAGAGACCATTAACATGCTCGAATCAAAGACCACTCGAGTTGAAGTGGACGGAGTCTTACGTTATGCCACCCCGCTGCTTAGGCACAAAGATATGCCCCCTTTCCAAGCCACAAAGGAAATGGTAATGCCCAGCCTCCGGAACACCGAACGGTGCCTCGCTAAAGACCCGGAACGAGCTGAGGCATACAACGCTGAAATTCAGAAATTGACTCAGACCGGAGTAGTTAAGAAGCTGAACTCCCACGAGATGACACAATCAGTGGAATCATGGTATATTCCACACCACATGGTGACCCACAACAATAAGAATTGCAAAGTGTTTAACTGCTCTTACCAATACAGAGGTCTGAACCTAAATGAGTGGCTGTTACCTGGACCCACCTTAGGACCCTCACTCCTAGGAGTGCTGTTACGATTTCGAGAGCATAGTGTAGCCATAAGTGGTGACGTGAAAGCCATGTTCCACCAGGTCCGCCTGCTTCCTGAAGATCGCCCCCTTCTGAAATTTGTCTGGAGAGACATGGAAAGAGACCAAATTCCATCTGTGTTTGAGTGGCAGGTCTTACCTTTTGGTACAACGTTTAGTCCATGCTGTGCCACTTACGCCATGCAGCACCATGTAATCAGTCACAGCCAGCCAGAGGACGATGTGAGGTTTTCCATCGAGAGATGCTTCTATGTCGATAATTGTCTGCAAAGCCTCTCCTCTCCTCTCCTGACCAAGCCAGAACCCTGATAGATAAGTTAAGGGAGACTCTAGCCTCTGGTGGATTTGAACTCTGACAGTGGGCCAGCAATAAGCCGGATGTCATCAGTCACCTACCCAAAGAAGCCCGTTCAGACAATCTGTAACTCTGACTCGCTCACGACCGAATAGACAACCCTGAATCCGCTCTTGGCCTCAGCTGGCACTGTTCAACAGATATGCTAAGATACAAACATCACCCTGTGAATTATGATGCTCCTACCATGCGGAACATCTACAAGGTATTAGCCAGCCAATACGACTCTCTCGGCTTTATCCTGCCATACACCACCCGCGCCAAAATACTAGTGAGACAACTTTGGGACAAACACAGAGACTGGGACAAACCCCGACTGCCGCAGGATTTGCTACAAGCCTGGAGGGATTGGGAAGGAGAGTTAAAATTCCTGCAGGGGATCACCTTCCCCCGAGCATACGTACCCTCCTGCCATGGATGAGAGAAGAATTACTCATGAGATACATGGGTTCTGCGATGCCTCGGAACAATCCTATGGAGCTGTCGCTTACCTGAGGACAGTTGACACTCAGGGTCAGCCTTATCTCTCCTTCATTGTAGCCCGTTCAATAATTGCACCTAAACGACTGCACTCAATGCCCAGACTGGAGCTCTGTGCTGCCCTCACAGGAGCCCAACTCAGTAGATTGCTAGAACGAGAGCTTACCCTGCCAATCAGCCAAACTACCCTCTGGACCGATTCAACCACGGTCTTGTCCTGGTTGCACTCCGAGTCCTGTCGATTTAAGGTTTTCTTTGGCCCTCGAGTGGCAGAAATTCAGGAGCTCACTGATCGACTTTCATGGCGATATGTTGACTCAGCGAAAAATCCTGCGGATGACCTCACCAGAGGTAAGAAACTATAAGAACTGGCTGAGCCTAACCGGTGGAGCCATGGGCCACCCATTCTTCTACAAAGCCGAGACAAATGGCCAACCCCACCAACAACAGTAGTAGACGAGTGTCACACAGAACTTCGCAAGTCTATATTCTGTGGTGTCACTACGAGCATACCTGACAAGGAGCCTTACCTACCAGATGGGCATCAGTACACTACTTGGATGGAACTTGTAGAGGCAACCGTACAGAAGTTTCAAGGGGCGGCAGGTAACAGCAGAGCTCTTTGCGCTGAGGACTACTGTACAGCCGAGATTCTTATCCAGAGAAGGGCACAAAAGGATAGCTTCACAGAGGAGTTCAGCCTACTGCGAAATGGAAAAACAGTCCAACGAAATAGCCGTCTACTTACGCTGTCTCCAGAGCTGGACAAGACAGATGAACTCATTAAGGTTGGTGGCAGATTGCGACGATCTGAAGACTTAGACCCAGCTGCTGTGCATTCCATTATCTTGGATCACTGCCATCCTACCACTAAGCTTTTGATCCAAGACTACGATTCTCGACTCGGCCACCCCGGCCCTGAGACAGTGTTTGTGGAGATCCGCCACAAGTTTTGGATCTTACGAGGTCGAGAGACAATTTGACGGTATCAGCATACCTGCACAGATTGTCGACGATGGAAATCAAGCCCTCAAGTTCTGAAGATGGCAGACTTACCTATAGCACGCCTACGCGTCGCTGACCTCATACGTCATCCTCCCGGAGCTGCTTCCAGTGTACAACTGTGAGCGCAAGCTACATTAAAGTGATTATTACGATTTGAATATGGATATGTTTCTTACAAAAACGCATCGATTTGCTACAGGAGGCTTTTGTTCACCCTCCGGAGCCGTGTGAGACACTTTTTTTTATGGATGGGCACTTTCTATTTAACTTCTTTTGGACTGAAGCACTGCAACACCCGCTGACTGCTATGATAGAGTTTGGAATAGCCAGGACAATTTTTAATATAACTCCGACTGGATTCGTCTGAAAGAAGAAAGTCATATACACCTAGGATGCCTCTGGGGTGAGTAAAACACAGCCTAATTTTCATTTTTGGGTGAACTAACCTTATTTTAAATACAGTCCTTCTTTAATCTCACTAACAAGCAGTATATATATATATATATATTTTTTAGCGATGTGCTATAAGTGCCACACCGGAGCACCACCCGAGTCTTCTCCCATTTCTACCAGGAATGCTTGATTCAACTTCCTGCGTCTGCTACTGGGGTGTAGGTTGCTAGGTTGAGGTCACAAATGGGTTGAAATTGTATGATATGTCGATTGTGTGCGTAAGATGCGATTCATACAAGATCTGGCAACTGGACAACCTTAGAATAATATATTGATGTGATTATTCATATAACGAGGTTTGAGCAATTCAAATTACTGGAAGACTCTCGGGAAGAGCCGGAGTATTGAACAGCAGCCCATCACCGTCTCAGATTTCGGAGACACGAGAATCAGTAGGCTACTTTTCGGGTTAAAAAGGATAACAGAGAACGGTATAATACACTTGAATTAACATGTTCCTTTTAAATGTTATAGTTTTATTTCTAAAATGCTTGATAAACGAGTTTAAATGCATGTAATATTGAAAAATATGTTGTATTCGATTTGTCTTATATTTTTGTACATGGGCGATTTCACTTATTAATCACCTTTTGCTTATTACTGTTGCATAGTAATTCTCTCTATCTCTCTGTGTGTGTGTGTGTGTGTGTGTTTTAAATTTCCAATTTATTTTTGGTTCATTTTAAGCCAGCATTAGTAATTTTCAAACAACCCAGCGTGTTATATATATATTCAAGTAAAATTATAATTAATTAATTCAAGAATGAAAATGTATTCCTTATTTTGGCTTCTTGTTAGGATCAATGTCTCATCAAAGTCAGTGCTTTCTGAATTTTCCTATTAATTCATTTTTACATGTTATTGTAGGCTCTATTCTCTCTTTTTTCAGTGTTGATTGTGATTTGATTGTGTAAGTCCGGGGTGCCCAAACTGGGTGCTGGAGGACCACTGTCCTGCAGAGTTTAGCTCCAACCCTAATTAAACACACCTGAACCAGCTTATCAAGCTCTAACTACGCATTCTAGAAACTTCCAGGCAGGTATGTTGAGACAAGTTGGAGCTAAGCTCTGCAGGACACCGAGTTTGGACACCCCTGGTGTAAGCGATCAATCTAGCAGTCATCCTAGATCTGTGATTTATCATGTTCATAACTTAGAGTAATTAGTCAATAATCACTGACGAAAAATGATGATTCTTCTTTTTCTCTCTTTTGCTTGTCTCAACAGGAGCTAACTACACCCCAAAGGCTGTTTTAAGAGCCACAGCACTGAGCATCTTTGGCTTTGTAAGTATGTGTTTTAACTATCAGACGCAGTATGTGACATTAGATTAACTGCAGCAATGCTGTGCAGCAAATTCAGTGATGGTTCCACTTTTTCTCCCTTTTGTATGTGTGTCCGCAGGAGCCAAATACACCCCAAAACGCTCTTTTAAGGGCCACCTAATCACTGCAACTTAGGCTTTGTAAGTAGTTTATTATTATTATTATTATTATTATTATTATTTTTAAATGATCACTCAAATGTTGGGCTGGGGATTGATACAGATTTTATTTGATTCACAAGTTCTAAATTCAGTTCTGATCTTGATTCAATTCAATTTGATTTACAATTATTCTTATTCTCTTATTCTGATTCTAGTTTCCACCCGATTTAGTTGAATTGATTCATTTGGAAGTATTTGGAAATATTTCTAAGAATTTGATGCCAGCCATTTATGTACCTTGATTTAGTGTTCATTTTGGTTATAGTCCTGTATTCTTTAAGGGTACTTCTAGACTGACTCAAAAGCCTGTTTTACACGATACAAATGTTATTACAGTAGCTGATACACACTGATACTCCGTGGATCAAGAGTTGTCACAACTAAAAAGATACTTTAAGACACAGCCAAAAAAAATAGTTTAAAGTTTAAGTTTGAAGGCTCAAGTTACTCAGTGTACCTTTAACATGATTGTACATTCAGGCAATTAATGGAGTTCCCTGACAAGGATGTGCAAAAAAGATATGCAGTTTAAACCGTAATACACTAGGAGTAACTGCTTAACACAAATTGTTACCTCGTCTGTCCATGAACAAATATAGATGAGATAAACTCATGATCATTTCTCACACATTTCCCCTCTGTTTTGTTTCAGATCAGCCGTCAATGGTTATGGAGGCCAGCCAAGACCAACTGGGATGCTATTTGTTGCCATATTGTCATGATCTCTGCTTTGACTTGTTATGAATTCAGTTCTACCACAGACGTTAGAGCCACAGGCCTGTAGTCATTAAGTCCTGTAATTTTGGATTTCTTTAGGATGGGGATGATGGTGGAGCGTTTGAAGCATGAAGGGACTTCGCACAGCTCCAGTGATCTGTTGAAGATCTGTGTGAAGATTAAATCATTGATATCTTAAGGAAAAGGAACTGATGGAACTAAACTCGATTCTTTTAGCTGTTATAATGCAATGCTGGTCTTTGTTTGAACTCTGTAATGGCTCAATATTGTTGTATATAGTATTGTTTTCATATATTATTTATGTTTGATAGGAACAAGCCATTCCACTGCTGGGGACCCCTGATTTTATCTTTGTGCTACATTACAACTAAGCATTTGTTTTATGCAGCATTATGCCTTGAATCAGTACAAAGACCAAAAATTCTCTAAAAACACATTTTCATTACTGAGATGAGTATAAAAGACTTGTTTTGGTGTGAATCTCATACATTTAATTTAATTTCCAAAAAAAAAGAAAGAAGACCTTTCACAAAGAAAATGAACAATATTATTAAGTTTACTTTTTTACATTGTGCATTGTTCAATTTATTCTTATTTTAACTGCAAAATCTGCATAAATTATACAACAAATATTACCACTGTGCATAAATACTTCACAATTTATTTGCATTACAGTCATGAGAATTAATGTATATATATATATATATACACACACACACACACACCAAGGAACCCCCAAAAAATAAATAAAAATAAAAATAAAAATATTAAATCTATATAAATTATAGACTACACAGCACATATCACCATTATGCAGAAATACTTTACAATTTACAGTAATGTAAAACGTGTGTTTTAATCATGAAAACGTAATGTATACAATCTTAAAACAAATCTTATTTCTTAGTTTCTTGACTTTTGGATTTCGAGAGTCGCTGGATGGGTTAAATTTCCGTCAGTGCCTGGATGTTTTAGTTTGTTTTTTTATTAAGCATCAAACAATAAACAAATACATAAAAGACAGAACAGATAGAACCTCTACAGGAAAAACAAAGGAAAAAACAAACATCGCACCTTGTAAAGTTTCACATACAAAATTAAATGTATAAAGACAAATAAAACATTACTGAATTCTGCAACAGTCACACTTTAGCTCCAGAGCAACTTTATTTGACATTTAACACTGGCAATAAAGTAAACACATGACACAAAGGGACAAAATCAAGCACTATACTTCAGTGAGTGTTACATGTCTCCATGTATGTCTCTCTTCTCATTCCAAGTTTTTTGTAAATTTGTCTCTATGGATCAACATATATTTACTAAGAATAGCCTGTCAGGGAGCAGAAAGCCTACAACATAAAGAGATCACAGGATAGAAGACAATCTTGAGGAACAATCCTTAAAACAATCATTAAACCAATCATTGAAAATTTTCTCAATGCTAGTGCAAGTGTGTGAATTTTGTCTTCTTTGTCTTTCCCCCAAACAATACCACTTTTATTAAGAGCTCTGGAACAATGCAAACTTACTACAATCATTCATCATTTGAACCAGCTGGAATCAAAACTACTTGACACACTATTGCATGTATTTTTTTTTTAAACCAGTAAACGTTAACAAACTCATTTTACTCTCACGATATGGAAATTTTTTTCCGGCAATTCTGAGTTTATATCTCACAGTTCTGAATTCATATCACAGATGTGATCATGTGAGATGTAAACTCAGAATTCTGAGAAAAAAGTCAGAATTGTGAGATGTAAAATAGGAATTTTGAGATAAAAAGTAGTGATGGTAGAAACAAACCTTTTCGAAGCTTCGAAACACTTGAACCAACATGATTCACTGTTTCGAAGCCTTCGAAACTCCACCCTGCTGGTCAAAATTGTGTAACTACAACAAACTCAGCCCAAACATGCATAAAAAAGCTTTTACAAACACATTGCAAATGTCTTATTGAAATTATAATGTATTCAATGCCATTAACAAATCTATAATACCATTAAATATGAAGGATACGAACCACTGAATTTCTGAAACATTAAGACAGTTGTGACGTAACGAAGCCTCATTTACTGAAATCACGAGACTTTGGCAGTTTGATATGCACTCCGACCCACTTGTTTCAAAGCTTTATGAAGCAGTGCTTCAAAAGGACCCATCACTAATAAAAAAATGAGATATACTAAACTTGTAATTCTGAGACAAAAAGTTGGAATTGTGAGATATAAACTCGCAATTACGAGAAAAAAAAAAATCAGAATTGTGAGAAAGTTGTAGTTACCTTTTAACATTTTTAATCCATCACGAAAAAAACCAAACAAACACAAAACTGCAAGATATAAACTAAGAATTGGGAGGAAAAAAAGTCTAAATTGTGATAAAGTCAGAATTGCGAAAAAAAAGTATGAACTGAATAAAAAAAACAAAAAACAATCCTTTTTGTATTTATTTTTTTATCCTGTGGTGGAAACGGACTTAACTGGTTTTTCTGTTCAACTAAATTTTCAAGCCTCTCATTTTCAGCTTCAACAGTACATTAATAAACCCATCCTACCGCTGTCACGGATCACTTGTGGAAAACATAAGATCCAAGTGCAGTTTATTAATCCACGAAAAAGAAAGATTGAAAAACAGAGCAACAAGCAGAAAACAAAGGCAAAAGGTAATCCACAAACAGCGTAACAGAAAACAACACTGAAGCAAACAAGGGCTAACAGAACATGGTATATATATAGGGGAACTAATAAGACTAAATGACACACAGCTGGGAACAATGAGAACTAATAAGTGCAAGGGGTGATGGGAACACAAACAACAGTCCAGAAGAGTGGCAAGAGCACTTCAGCAGATGGCTGTGACATGACCCCCGCTTTAAGGGGCGGATTCCAGACGCTCCAAATAAAGTCAAAGAAATCCAGGAGGGAGGCAGAACGGAGGTGGATCAGGGGGAGGGATGGCGGGCCAGGCCCGTGTAGTGGCAGAGGGCCTGGACACAGAGGTAGAACAGGAGGCCAGGGCGGAGCAGGGAGCTTGCCAGGCAGCAAGGGTGGAGCTGGAGTAGATTCTGTGAACTCCTGGACTGGAGCGGGCTCTGGAGTGGACTCTGAAGGCTCCCGGACTGGAGCAGGCTCTGGAGTGGTCTCTGAAGGCTCCCAGACTGGAGCAGGCTCTGGAGTGGATTCTGTGAACTCCTGGACTGGAGCGGGCTCTGGAGTGGACTCTGAAGGCTCCCGGACTGGAGCA